ACAACTTTTAAGTAAAGTGTTTCGATTCTCTCAGCATTTCTATCTCTTAAGATTAAAAGCAATTATTATTAATATTTGTATTGTACTTTCTGTAATCATGGAAATTTATTGGATACAATTATACAATTAGGATTTATAGCTTTAATTTTACCTTTTTAAATGAGTTTTGAAAAATATAATTACTAAGACATTCTAAATAAATATTTATTAATTTACAGTAAACTTTTATAAACTATTCGACTTGCTAGAACTTAATACATATATTTTCAATTTTAATTTAGATAAAAATATTGTAATTCATTTTAATAAAAATTTGATTAATAAATATTAAATTTTTTTGAGCCTGAACATATAACAAATAATGCTGAATTTACTTTTATTTTGTTTTCTAAATTATTTTATACAGAAACATTTTATAATATTTTATAGCAACGCCTATAACAGTTCGCATAACAATTTTATGTTTCAATACATTAAATACTAAGAGTATTTAAAAGTCGATCAATATCGACCATAAAAAGAAATACAATGAGCTGTAATAAATCGACTATGAAATCCGAAAAATAATTACAAATAGAAAGTTTTAATGAAATAATCAGTTTTACTAGAGTCTTTCATTGCCTTCGTCTTCTTTAACAACCATTGAAAACAAAAAACACTTGTAAAGACACTAGTTCAAGCTAGTCTAGTATACAGATATATAAATACTTGTGTAAGCAGCTGATGCATTGTTGAAACATTAGCAAACGCCCACATAGAAACATTTGGGTGATTTTTTGAAGAATTTCCCACGCTATGCGTGCGTCGAGCTGCAAAAAAAATCATTTTGTCAATAGCCCAAGATTTCGAGCAGCAACAATAACAGCACTTAATGCCTCAAGTATAACAGTTAGTCATAGTCATGCCAAGATCGTCGTCGTGGAAGACGAATTCGAAGAGACAGCAAAAACAACAAAATGTTGGCCTTATTGAAACACGCGAATGAATACAACTAACAAATTCAGCCAAAATATAAATAACAATGAGTGTATGAAAATATTAGATACAAATTGCAGATCTTAAACATAATTAAAGCGACACGGGAGACGGTGACAGTGACAGCGAACAGCGACAGCGAGAGAGTCTATATATGTATATATGCAGGCTGGACTCGAACTCGAACTCGAACACTCGAGAGTCAAATTCAAATTCGGATTCGCACTGACTCAGAAAGATTGATGGATGTAGCTAAATCTGGGCACTGAAGTGTCAAAGCGGGCGACATTGACCTTTATTTACTCCGTCTGTGTATGTGTGTGTGTGTGTGCGTGCACATACAGATCAAACTAATGATCCGCTCATAGCTCAGAGCTCAATAGCAATTGCACGTGGCACACTCCCAACTACACCTGAGCGAACCACAAAGTATACCAATTTTTATTTTGGCCATTTCATGGCTCCATTTTTAACTGAATCATTTGCGTTTATTGCTGCCAGTTGCCAGTTTTGCACACGAAATTCATTTCGCCGATTAGCCATGCCAATAACTGTAAATCATTCGGGCCAATAACAAAAACACCAACGAAAGACCAAGAAACCACTCGCCGATCGACGCACATCGCTCAGTTTTTGATATTGTTTTGTGTACGAAATTTCATTCAAGTCCAAATATATATATGAAGTGGATGGGGAGGAGTTTGGCTAGAGTTAATGAGCTACTATTATTATACTGGGTTTTGTATTAAAGGGCTTGAAATGAAAAAGGAAATTTTATCGCCCAAAAGAAAGGAATTGGAATATATGTGATATATGTATGTCCAAAGTTATTCGATAGATATTTGATAATAGAGAGATATATATCGCAGTATATTTAGAAGACTATATTTACATGCCAATTAAAAATGATAAACAAATAAAAAAATAGTTGTAAAGATAAGTAACCTTTAGATAAGGAAAACACAAAATATAATAATATTATATTTATCATTAATAACAAATGATAGATGTGAACAAATATCAATTCTTATTGTTTCAATTGCCCTCTTGGATGCACTCAGGCAGATGTCCAATGTATATGATCAACTTATAGAATATCTCAGAACAGATTTTATTAATTATCAATTATTAATTCAGAATGCTATTAAGTTCATATGCTTAGTCTGAATCTTGGTTACAAAATTGGACAGACAGCTAAGCTGTCTAAGTAGCTAATAATAATACAAATAATAAATATAGTATATAT